CCCTCGTATTAAATCATTATTAAAATTAAATTTCTATTTGAAATTCATAACTCATTTTTGGTAACCAATACCATGGTAATTTTTACACACACACTCTATTCCGCTAATGATTAAACACAATTTTCTGTATACATTAAATATCCTAATTGACCATAAACAAGTAACCAAAAATTGACTGAATATGAATCGCTTGTTGGTATTTACACACATACACATAAACAAATTTGCGTATTCATAATTAATTTTATGAAATTTTTGAATATTTTGTTTTTATTGTGGCGTTGCGTAAAAATTCACGATTTTTATGAATATTAAATACAATTTTATATTTCAGAATAATTATTTGAAAATGCAATTATAAATGCAATTGAATAAATGGGTACATGTTATGGCATAAATACATTGACTGTCAAAACACCAATTTGCTAGATTTCATAATTTTGTAATATTTTAATTGAAAAATATGTGGGAATTGGTGGCATGCAATTGATTGGGACGTCCTCTACTTAAAAATATATTTACTCAAATTAGCGGTGTGTTTGTGAATGTAAACATTATAAAAATTTTGAGAAATGGTTGTTTATCGGCCTTTTTATTTGATTTATAAATAATAAGATTTTTTTTTCGAGCTTTAGGCCATTTTCGTTTTTTTTTTTTTAATTATTTTCCAAAAAAGAGATTTCTTACATTTACATAAAATTGTCAGATTTACTTAACAGCTAAAGTAGTTTTTACTACCATTGTCTGGTGTTATTATTGCACTGATTATTTCTACGTATTGCACGATCTCTTCTTTGTCAAGTGTCGATAACAATAAGCTGCATTATCGGTGTCGCTTTTGTAATTGATCTTTTTGTTTGTTGGTATGGCCTAAAGCTCGAAAAAAATCTTATTATTTATAAATTATTAAAATAAATATGGTAGCAGGTATCATTTACTAAGGGCAAATTTGTAATATTTATTAGTTTTATCTCAATTCGGTGATCATATTAACATTATTGAAATTTTGTGGGAGGTGCCAAAACATAGGGACTAAAATTTTCACCCTCTATTTAAAGTATCCCCTTAATATTTAAATAGCTAATTTATATTTTCATGTGTGTGTAGAAGCCGAAAGGTTCAAAAGTTCGATTTTTTTTTGTAGATATTAGAAGATGTTTAAATTTCGGCCCGAACACGAAACTTAATTATTAAGACGCACCAATCCAGTTACAAGAAAAAAAGTATATGTCATACGTAGTTAAAATGTCACAAGACGTCTAGAAAAACAGTATCGTTTCTCGAACGATTTTTAGAGGCTTTGAAAACCTGAAAACTGGATCTTTTAATGGAATTCAAGCGCGTTAGTGTGATTTCTTTATATTTGGCTGGAAAACCAAAAGTTGCTATCCCCAGTGAACTCCGGCATTTAAATGTGAATAAATTTTTGGTGTCCCGTACCATCGCTCGTTACCGTGATACTGGTTGCGAGGTCCGATGTCAAGGAAGTGAACGGAAGAAATCAGCAATATCAGCAGAAATGGTTCAAAAAGTAAAGAAGCGACTTGATCGAAATCCGCGTCGCAGTGGTGGAAAAATGGCTGAACGTGAGCTGATCATATCGCGATATTCCATTCGGCAAATATTGAAAAATGAGATCAGGGTAAATCCATTGAAATACCAAAAAAGTGCAAGAACTTACACCGCAACAGAATGAAAATAGACTCAAAAGAGCTAAAGAGTTGCTTCGCTTGGCCGAAATTGGTGAACTGCCGAATTTGGGTTTCTCCGATGAGAAAACATTCGTTGTCCAGCAATTTGTAAACAAACAAAATGATCGCGTTAACTTGCCACAGAGGTCAGCTGAAAATGTGCACCTTCGGTTGGCCACTAGAACTCAAGCGCCGGCCATGGTGATGGTGTGGGCCGCCATGACAGCAGATGGTAGCTCTGCGCTTCTATTAATCGACCGTGGCAACAGGATAAATGCCAAATTTTATTGCGAAAATATTAAGGAATGTGTATTTAAACCTTGGGCACGCAAACATTTTTGCCGCAGACCTTGGACATTCTAATAGGACTCAACGCCATCGCACTCAGCATGCGCCACCCAAGAATGGTTACAAAATGAGGTTCCTCGCTTCATTTCCAGCGCACAATGACCACCAGAATCTCCGGACACCAATCCTAATGAACTATTGTATCTGGAGTATTTTGGAAAGCAAGGTTGGCACTAAAAATTAGCAAAGTGTCGATCACCTCAAACAAGCGTTTCGCCGGGAATGTGCCAAAATACAGCAGTGCAACGCGTGTGACGGTTTTATTGGTAGTTTGAAGGCCAAAATTCGTGCCAAAGTGACCAATTCGAACAAATCTTATTCAAAACTAAATTTTTCTAAAATTTGATGCTATATCAAACATTTTTTGCTTTGAAATTAAAATTTAATAAAAAATGTAACAATAATGGCGTTTGACTTTGCTGCAGTTTTTTACCTCACCCTGTATGACAGCTATATACTAATAAGCCCTAAACCAAATGAAACATATATATAGGACCTTTAGTTATACCTTAACCGATTTTCATGAAATCTGATGTTCATGCCTCTAGACTGATTTCGGTCGGATGTGCCACAGTTCAGGTCATTTGGACTGATTTCGGTCATGTGGTGCACAATTAACTCGAAACCGGTTGAAGATATATATGGAAACTATATCTATGTTTGAACCGATTCTCACCAGATTTAATAGGGTTCGTAATTGGGCAAAACAAATATTACGTGGAAAATCTAATTTAAATCGGGTAATAAATGCGATCTGCATTTTGTTCACAAAAGTATTGGACAGATTGACGGACAGACAAGCTGACATACATAAATCGACTCAGAAGGTGATTCAATGAAGAACACCAAAAGTAACTATGGGTCTATCTCGCTTCCATCTTCATGTTACAAAATATGCACAAAGATATAATACCCTTACCACAATGTGGTGTAGGGTATAAAAATGACCATAATTCCTAAATATTAAATTATCGGCGTTTTCAGCCATTATTTGTGATCACTTTTTTAGGCTTGAATTATTACATATTGTAAAATGGCCATAACTTCTTAAATATTGAGTTTTCGGCGCTTTTAGCTATTATTTGTGATCACTTTTATGAGCATGAATTATTACATATTTTAAAATAACCATAACCCCTTAAATATTGAGTTTTCGGCGTTTTTAGCTATTTTTGTGATCACCTTTTTAGGCTTGAATTATTACATATTGTTACATATACATATTCAGGACATTTGGAGTCGATCTAGCTGGTGCGCACGATAACTGTCGAAAGGAGTATCAGATTTGGTCCAAGCTTGGTACATCGTAATATATTTGTCAAACTTAGATCGAGTTCGGAGAAGGGCAAAAACCGTCTACTCCTTCTGGTACCTTCCCCACAAAAATCGAAATTTTTAAAAAATATATTTCCTGCACAAAAAGAGGAACGATAAGTCGATTTTGCCCCAACTTTTGTAAAATGTGATGTAAGTGTCCGATTGTCTTCAAATTTCACGCACCTCAATAATTTTATTAACACGAGGTCTGGTGCTGAGATGAAATACATCGGTTCACTCTTTCTGATACCTCCCCCACAAAAGCTCAATATTTTCAAAAAAATATATTTTGTGCACAGAAAGGGAAAAGATAATCCGATTTTGCTCCAACTTTGCGAAACCAAATATTTGCGTGAGTGCGAAAATGGACAATATCGGATCACTCTATCATGTACCTGCCCCACAAAGGGTCAACAATTTTGAATGATTACAAAATTTCACACATCTCAATAATTTAATTAACCAAAGGTCTGGTGTTAAGACGGAATACATCGGTTCACTCCTTCTGGTACCTCCCCCACAAAGGATCAAAGTTTTGAATAACCAGAACGATCATTCAATCCGAAATAAGCATCCGGTTCTCTTCAAATTACACACATTAAATTATTTTTATTAACCCAAAGGTTGGTGTGAATATGTGATATATCGGTCTACTCCTTCTAGTACCTCCCCCACAAACGGGTCAAAATTTTAAGTAACCATAAAGCTCCATTCAGACTTCCTACATCTCAGTATTTCCATTAATACCATATATGTTATAAAGTTGGTAGAGATCGGACCATTTCAACTGGCACCTCCCTCACAAAGAGTCAAAATTTTGAATTACCAAAACGATCATAGAATCCGAAATAAGCATTCAACTCTTCAAATTTCACATATACAAACATTTTTGCTAATACAAATTCTGTTGTGAATATGATATATATCTGCGAAACGCTTCTGGTACCTTACTCACAAAGGTTTACAATTTTTTTATATTTTTATCGTAAGTTATGAGAAACAAGTCAACGATTATTTATAACTGGCAATATCTAAATATTTTTCTCAACCAGAAACCTGAGATGAATATTGAAATTGTGATTTCCCATAAATTGGATATAAATGTTCGATTTTCTTGTATTTCCTTTTTTTTTATATGTATTAGATGAAGCGTGACAATGAAATACTTCGGTAGACTGTACCTGGTACCTCATGTACATGTTAACATTTTCTAAAAATTTTCATATGTGTCATGTAAATTGAAGTGAATATTTATAATGTATTTATTTAGGTCCGATACGAAATAGACAATATTGGCCCATTCCCCCAGAACGCACTCCATAGAAGGTCAGCAATTTGAATAATCATAACAGAAGTCAAAATATATTTAAATAATCGAACAATGGCTGAGCGTATTACTCTGTCGGCAGAACCGATAGATACCTTTTTTTAGACTTGATTTTTTACAAATTTTAAAAATAAAAGGCTAAATTAAATTTTTTTTGTTTTACTTACCTTAATGACATATTTTTTTCAAAAATCCTGTCTTAAAAACCCAATTCATTTCTTAAAGTTGTTCACTTTCCCACTCCAGGGCACATATCTGAAAATTATCCATTTCCGTATTAATTTTCCATTGAAATAAAAACACAAATTGTATTATTTTCGTTTTATCATCTCCTTCAGCTTTATTTTCCATTATTTCATACCTCTGCAAATAATTCATAATTGATTTCAATGATTATTTCCATGTAAGCGCTTTATAAATCCTTACGACATAAGGCTACATTTTCTCTTGCATTTTTCTCATATATTTTCTGCAATTTTCTCTTTTTTGTTGCATTGCATTATTTTAATTGTTTTGCTGTTTTTTTTTGTATTAGTGTGAGTGTGTCTATAATTAAGTTGTATTTATTTATTTGTGTTGTGTATTTTATCTTTTCTTCTTATTTTTTGTTAAACATTAACCATATCTCAAATTGTTTACTTAACTACATTTTGCATTAAATTTATAATTAAATTTATTTAGATTCTTACAGCTAAACATCCCACCCCAACAAAAAAAATAATGACATTCGCTTAATTAGAAAACCTTCTTACAAAAAAAGTTTTTTATTTTCAGTGTTAAATTTTGTTTTCTTATTTCCTCATTTAATTTGTTTTTTTTTTTTAATTTTTAGACAATTTTATTTTAGTTTAAATTTTATTTAACATTTTATTGAATTTTGTTTTGAATTGTTGTTATTATTTTTATATATCGTTTTCATAGTATTTTATTGTGTTTATTGTAAAGAAGAATTTGATTTTGTTTTCATTTTGTTGCGTGTTGTTGTTGTTATTGTTTAAAATTTGCTCACCAAACAAATATCGAAATAAAATTATAATAAAAGCCAGGCCAAAAAGGGCAACAACAATAAACTGGAAATATTGTTTTATATTAACATTATTGATTTAATTTTTTGGTTTTTAATTGTTTTATTATAACTAAATGTAATAAGTCAGTTACAATAAGGAAAGGGAATGCCTATAAACCATTATCTAAATTATTGGCATGAAAATTATATTTGAATTGTTGAACTGCAGAAAAAAGTTATAATAATATTGAATTATGATTGTGAAGGAATTATGTTCTGAGGAAGAACAAAAAAAACTTTATTTTTGTATATTTTCTATGGCCAACATTTTTTTAAAATAAATCAAAAAAAATAATCTTTTGAACAAAAAATGTTAGAAACTATTCATCTTTTTTAATTAGTCACAAACAGGACATGATACCACATTAATCGAAAAGGATTTTTGAATGGATAATTGAAAAAGCCTTCGTAATATACAAAAAAGTAAGGAAAGGTCAAAAGTCGACTATATGATACCCTGCACCACTATGTTATTTAGTAGAGCTCCCGTAGCAAAAATTGTAATCTTGGGAATTCATGTGAAGTAGATCATACCAACTATAAACCAAATAATATTGATATGACTTCTATAAGGATTGTATTAAACAAGCAAGCAAGAAAGACGTGCGGGACCGACCATATGATACCCTAAAACACTACAATATGATAGAAGTCCCCTTATGTCCAAATCCATTTAGGGAGATTTCGCTTTTGAAATTATGTTATATAGCACTGCCCAGATACTACCCTTAGTTTTTTGACCAGGGACATTTGCGCAATATTTACGCTCTTAGTTACAGCTAAATATAATCCAATGGTCATCCAAAATGCTAGACTTCTTCCCTGTCCTCAACTCGTCAACAAAACCAGAAGTTCGCCATTTGTGTATTTTGGATTTCGCCTGTAAGATATTTTTAGCGTTTCGGTAGAATGGAAATGTTGATATTTTTTCCCACAAAAGTAGCGATCTATTCTACCCGCTGTCCTAAACTCCAACTTCATGCGAGATTTCGTGTCCTTTGGTTTCTATTTGTGACCTTTATAACTGCTGCAAAATCAGGAACCTTTTTTAGTTGTTGGTTCATTTAAACCCCTAAATATATTGCGGACATTTTTAAAAACAATAGGCCTAGCGCTCCTGAGTCTAATCCTACCCCTATGCAAATTTTTGTGAGAATCGGACGATAATTACAACTTGTATATAATAACCCCAACCGGTGTTGTAAGGTGAAACAAGTAAAAAAGCAGATGAGTTAGGCCGGGCCGAAACCTTAATACCCTCCACAATTTATAAGAAACTCGAAAAAGTTCCAACGAAAAATAACGCTCAAATAAAAACCGTCATAAGTTATTTGTGTCATAAGCTGTAGCAACGGTTCCGAACTTAATATATGAAATTTGGAACAATTCCGTTGAATAATGCGCAAAAATTATGAAAATACCGAATATCTGGGGTACCGTTATATATGCGCTATACTAAAGCGTCGACCTATTTGGACAATTCTCTCCTAGGGAATAAAGTACTCAGAAGAAACCCCTTGTGTGCATTTTAAGGCAATTGCATTAAAAATTGTCTGAAATCATCAAAATACCGCATATCGGGGGAGTAGCGTTATAATTCTCCTCTATAAAATAAATTACTAGCAAGGAACCCCTTGTGAGGATTTTCAGGCAATTCCGTTGAAAAATGTGGCTGAAATCATTAAAATATCGAATATCGGGAGGAACCGCTATATAGGGGATATATGATATCGTGGGCCTATGTAGACAATTTTCTTCCAGGGGGTAATGTACTCACAAAGAACTCTTTATGTGGATATTCAGACAATTCCATTGAAAAATATGGCTAAAATCATCAAAATACAGAATATCGGGGGGTTCCGTTATATGGGGGCTATATTATATCGTGGACCTATAAGATAATTCTCTTTCAAGGGATAAAGTGCTCACAAGGAACTCCTTGTGTGGAATTTCAGACAATTCCATTGGAAAATGTGGCTAAAATCATCAAAATACCGAATATCGGGGATAACGTTATATGGGGGATACGTTATTGTGGACCTATATAGACGATTCTCCTTCAGGGTGTAAAGTACTCAGAAAGAACTTCTTTCGTAGTATTTCAAGCAATTCCATTGAAAAATTTGGCTAAAATCCGCAAAATACCGAATATTGGGGGGTACCGTTATATGGGGGCTATACGATATCGTGGACCGACAGATATGTGCAACTTTATCATCCTATCTTAATTCGTTTTGACTGCAACGTGATTACAACAGACGGGCGGACAGGGCTACGCTGATCAGAATGACGAACTTATTATATCCTCCATACTATGTATGGTATGGTATGGTATGGGTATAAAAACTTAACGTTAACATTTGAATTAGACAAATAAATTGATAAGACAAGGGATAGGGTCAGCATAGAAGCCTATTGTTGTTCTTGTAACAGTTCCCCATATTATGTTTGGGACCTGCTAATCTGGTGGTAACTCCAGGTTCAAAAATTCACTATGAATACCACTCAGGACTGTCTGATAGGATTCTTGATTTAGGGGCTCTCTCTTGTAGCGTTGGAAATCCCTATCTGGATTATGTTTGTCCTTCCTAACACGCCTGGATGGGGGAGTTTTATCCACCATACAATGGCTTGGATTTCTCCCACGATAACATCCTAGCAGGTACTGCAACGAAAGTATATGGTTATGCTGACGTACGGGAAGGACCTTCGCCACCTCATATAGATGCCTCATGAGGAGGCACCCTGTCGCAGTTCTCAGGGCATCATTCTGACAGTTCGGAATATTTTTCCACTGCGTAGAACTTATATTCGCAGACCACACTGGTGGCGCATAGCTGAAAAAAAAACTGACCTACCTCGTTATAAGAGGATAAAAAGATCTCCTCGTCCGCGCCCCAAATGCTGCTGGCTAACGCTTAGAGGACCTTGTTCCTATTTTTCATCTCGTCGCAAATAGCTGTGGCTTGGACGGGCGACTTGAACATGATATTGAATGTTACCCCTAGGATCTTGTTGTACCTTGTGGCGGACCATGTGTTAAAGAGTGTGACCCGTAATTTCGTGGCGGATATTTTCATAGCCTATTGTTGGGGTAGCTGATCGCAAATATTGAAGGGTTGATATGAACCCAAAAATAATGTTTTGCTGATTTTGCAGAGTCGCTCTATAGGTCAGTTATAGAACCATTGACGAAATTTTGCATGGAATTCGATGGGTAGAAACATATCTTTCTGGATGTTCATCGGATAACAAACAGTAGGTTAAAAAGACCTTGACTTTTGTGTAAAACATACAAAAAGGTCCATTCCTCGGCGAATATTTTCAATCATGAATGTCAATTCCGGGCGAAATCATAAGATGAGAAACCTTTACATTGATGCTATAAACCGGAATGAAAGTTTTCAAATATTTTTTGAAAGACCTTTTAGCACGACAAATGACGTAAATATTGGGTAATTTCCACGGAATTTTGCAGGGTCTCTTATCTCCGATAAACCCCTCAGCATTGCTATGTGGCACTACTTCAAGAATGCAATGTGCCAAAACATACATACATTTTGAAATCCATGAAACATTTGTGTTTTTTTCGCTAGAGCCAATTCCGGAGATGTATCTTGATGAAAAAATACCGATGTTTTACTTTTGTAATAGATACTGGATTTTTGGCAAAAATTGTTAAATTGGTGATGAATACATTACTTATAAACCCTGCTAATAGAAAAATAGGGACTGGACCTCTATATTTCGAGTGAGCTTTTAAAAAGTACATTTATGTGTTTAAGAAGAGTTAAGTTATCTTGGGCGCCATTCTGTGTTACATTCTCAAATCATACTCACATACTTATATTCTCAAAGGAATATGTTATTTAGTCCATCTTCGGCACATTGTATTATTTTTACCATTCCTAGATCAGTCTTGAAGATGGACGATTTCGGTCCACTCATTCTGGTACTTACCTAAAAAAGGTATTTTTTTTCAAAATAATTCATATTTGGTTTGAATTTTCTGTAGCAAAATTTGAAGGCTCATCCAAACTTTAATCCTCGCAAGTTTCAAGTAAGAATAAATTTCTATTTTTATACTTTTTATTAATTATTAATTAGCTATATTTGTTATTAATTTTAACTCAAAGTTTTAATGACGTAGTAACATTATGGCCAGAGAAAGCAATGTATTCCAAAATTATTATCCATTCAAAATTATTATTATTTTTTTCGACTAACCAAAAATTATGATAATACACCCACATCGCAAGTGCCTCTCAAATTCTATCCGAAATTGGCAATTAATTGGCTCATGTCAGCCAGTAATTTGCAGTTCACTTTCACTTCAAAATGAATTTTCTGTTAAAATCTTTAGGCCATCATTTTTATGATGAACGTGACATTAAATTTGTTAAAACATTCTAAAAATTCGATGGCTGGAAATGATTTTTTATGGTGTTGCTGTTGTTGTTTTTGTGTTAATTTTCTCTTTGGTGTTGTTGTGTTTTTTTTTTTTTTTTTTTTTTTTTCTTATTTGCCCTCGATTTTGTTTTCATTCTTCATTATGGCTTATAGGCATTACATAAAAATAAATATGGCAAAAATATCAAAGTAACACAGAGCTCAGAGCAAGGATGGATGGATGGATGAATGGTAGGATGGAAATGGAAAATAAGGGACGGACGAAAAATGCCAACAAAAATCATTTAATAAGTACGCTTTGTAAATTTAACTAACCAATTATTATTACTACTAGCACTACGGCAACGACCCGGATGGCTGCCATCAGCCTCGTCAACATCAGCATCATCATCATCATTTCGGTTGCTGCAGTCAATGCCACAAGCAGTTGTTTTTTTCATGCTCTTGCCCAGAGTCAAAGCAACCAAAGACTTGTGACTGCCAGGCTGACTGGCATATGGTCGAATATTATAATGAGCCAACTGTACTGCTGGTATGGGAATCGTTGCCATTCTCCCCAATGACCACCGTCCCGTGTGCCTCTTCGCCTCGCCATTTCCACCTCTACAGCTACGACTATGACTATTTGCACCATCAACGCCACCATTACTACCATCATTGCCCCCACCATCGCCAACGCCATCACCACAATCATCTCTGCCATCCACGCCGTTATTAACATCCACAACATCGCCGATAAAATGTGTCGTCGAATTTCACTGTATCAACGGTGAATGCTGTGAATTTTCACTAAAATCTACTGTATAATACATGTCGTTCTCCAAGTTCATGGCCAAATGGCGCTGAAAGGGCCGCTCATTTAATTGGCCTACATGATGATGGCGTTGCTGTTGTCCTGCTGACGATGACGATCCGGCTGCTGCTGTTGCTGACGCATTTGCGGTTGGCAAATGTCCAACACTATTACGTTGTAGTGGCGCCGATAAAGTTGAATTGGTTGCAACACGCATTGCATTGGCGCCCGTCGCCCCACCGCCACCCAGACCCTTGCCACTTAGCCAGTGTCGACTAATTTTCGATGTTGCCTGTTTGGTGCGCCAACGAAAGCCCAGTATGGGCAGAAAACCATAGGTCCGTGTTGAAAATTTACGATACGTTTGATTCACTTTACAGTGGCATATGGTAAGCTGTAATTAAAAAAAGGAAGAGAAGAACAAAACAACGAGAAAAGAGAGGAGGGAGAGAAGAAAAAAAAGTAGGAAATCATTATTTTTGTGCTCGAAAACAAGAAATGAGTTTTATTTTTACTGTTTTTTGCTTTTGCTATGCATTTTGTAAACTAACTATGCCTAAAAGGATATTATAATTGAGGTACAGTTGAGCTGACGGAAATTGAGGCAGAGCAAAAAACAAAAACAAGAAAATGCTGCATAACAAAATCATATTTAATCACAGAACAGATTTTTCATGTCCTGCAGGCAATGCAGAAAAGTTTTAGAATTGCTAGGAAAGTACAATATTTATGGCTGCAATTCAGAAACCTGAAGGGAAATTTTATGGCAGAGATGCTGCAGGAAATTCGAAAAGAAAGTATTTTGAAATGGGGTTAAATGAGATCTGTGTAGCACCAGAAATAGGGGATTTATTTGTAAGTTATATTTCAGGGGTTGAGAAGGAGCTGAAATAGAGTTTTTAGGGACGATCTAAAATGAGTTAATGAATATCAATAGATGTATCAATAGATGTATCAATAGATGTATGCTCCCAGCCTTGAGTTATGATTACTTCCTCTTTATAGGGAAAGTTCCGAATCAGTTTTCCATCAGACCTTGGGTTAATAAAAATATTGGGATGTGTGAAATTTGAAGATTATCGGACTCTTTCATCACATTGTATAAGAGCTGTAATTATTCAAAATTTTGACCCTTTTGGGGGAGGTACTTGATGGAGTGAACCGATATCATCCAGTTTTGCACCTGACCTAGAACTGACGCAGATATTAGGATTTGCTAAGTAGGAACAAAATCGGATTATTGCTTCTCTTTCTGTGCATTCCATCTTGGCACCAGACCTTGGGTGAATAAATGTATGGTGAAATTTAAAGACAATCGTACTCTTACATAACATTTTATAAGAGTTGTAATTATTCGAAATGTTGACAATTTGTGGGGGAGGTACCAGATGGAGTGGACCTATATTGTCGTACCTGATCTAGCACTGATGATAATATTAAGATTCGCAAAGTTGGTGCAAAATTGGATTATCCATTCTCTTTCTGTGCAATAAATTATTTTCTTTGAAAATTTTGACACTTTGCGTGGGAGGTACCAGAAGGAGTGGAGCGATTATTGGGATGTGTGAAATTTGTAGACAATCGGAGTCTTTCATTAATTTCTTTCAGAATTTTGAAATTTTGTGTGGAAGGCACCAGAAGTAGTGGACCGATATTGTCCATCTCCGAACTCGATCTAAGTTTGACAATAATATTACGATGTACCAACTTTGGATCAAATCGGATCGTGCGCACCAGCCAGCCAGAGACAGACAGACGGAAGGATGGACGCACAGACGGACAGACGGACATCGCTAGATCGACTCCAATTGTTATGAAACGGATTTGGTTCAAAGAGACCTAGGGTCTAAAACCGTTATTTCGATGAGGCACCTTTTGGCCGTAACAAATGATATATACCCTCTCTAACCTTATGACTATAGAAGAATCTGTGATTGCATTAAATAGACAGAAAACCTCATGAAGACCTTATACAGGTGGCTGACCTTTCATTGATAGAAGACTTTCTGTTAATAGAATACTTTCTAGTCTCCTTTGATGGAAGAACATCCTTCTATGGATAATGACTTTGTAATAGCCCTTTAAGAAAGAAACAACTTCTGAAGACCTCCTGTACACATATGACTGAATGGCATCAACTGAGAGAAGACTCCTTAAAGGCCATACCGACCCTAGTCAGGCGTTCTATGAATAATATACTATCTCAAGGCCTTCCCGGAAAAGACAAACTTTTCAAGGACTTCCATTAAAACCCTCTGTGGATAGACGATCTACCAAATTCACCAATGAAGTTAATGCTCGTCTATTGAAGTAGATTCCCTGGAGCCGACTTCAACTCGTCTGTGAAGAGCAACTTCCTGAAACCGACTTCAACTCGTCTATGAAGAGCGACTTCCTGAAGCCGACTTCAACTTGTTTATGAAGAGCGACTTCCTGAAACCAACTTCAACTCGTCTATGAAGAGCGACTTCCTGAAGCCGACTTCAACTTGTTTATGAAGAGCGACTTCCTGAAGGCGTCCTTCAACTCGTCTGTGAAGAGCGACTTCCTAAAGCCAACTTCAACTCGTCTATGAAGAGCGACTCCCTGAAGGCGTCCTTCAACTCGTCTATGAAGAGCGACTCCCTGAAGGCGTCCTTCAACTCGTCTATGCAAATAGACTCCCTGAAGGCGTCCTTCAACTCGTCTATGCAAATAGACTCCCTGAAGGCGTCCTTCAACTCGTCTATGAAGGTCGACTCCCTGAAGCCGACTTCAACTCGTCTATGAAGGTCGACTCCCTGAAGCCGACTTCAACTCGTCTATGAATAGCGGCTTCCTGAAACCCACTTCAACTCGTCTATGACGAGCGACTTCCTGAAGTCCCCATACATAGGCTCCCTGAAGCCCCCAAAAGCTCGTCTATGTGGAGACACTCCTTGATGTCACTTTCAGCTCGCCTATGTAAATATACGTCCGGCAGCCCCATGAAGACCCCTTTCAGCTCACTTATGCAAATAGAGTTCCTGAAGGCCCCCTTCAGCTCGCCTATGTAAATATATTCCCAGAATGTCCACTTTCAGCTCGCCTATGTTAATAGACAGCCTATGTTTTTCCTTATGGAACCCCTCTCCCTAATCCTGAGAGCATATACTCCCATCCCCGAACCCGCCCAATAGCTCGTGTATATACTGATCTCTACCTCTTACGTTTTTCCTTATGGAACCCCTCTCCCTCATTCTGACAGCATAGACTCCCGTCCCCGAACTGGGTTACAAAGATCCATGGTCTCAATTCTACTACTCTCTTTCTAAACACATTGACCATGTGTAATATTAATTTTCCTCGTTGTAAATGAGTCCAAATGAGTTTCCAACATTAAATTATGGCCATAAAAAAACTAATTAACATTTGCTTTGAAACCAAACCACATAATGTGTTGGGTTGGCAGAGGACAACATTTCATTCTCTTTTTCTGGGAATGGACAACAAATTCCGTACATTAAAGTTGAAGCAATTAAAGAAAAGCCATAGTGGATTGTTGGGAACAGTGATGCTTATAAAATATCGTTTAGCAGTGACCCAAATCATTAGGTTGTCTGAATTTTAAAATTTGGATTAACCAGAAAAAAGAAGAGGCTTAAGTGTGGTAGTTATATTATCAGGGTCTCATGGGACATTTTCAAATTTAAATTTAACTCCTTAAATTCCCAAATTCCTGTTTTTCTTTCATTTACCCATTTCGTTGTTTGGCTCATTTTTAATAAAAAGTCAGTACATCAGAAAACTTTTCATATTTCCCACATCTTCAACGCACCACAATCTTTACAAGTTTCCGAATTAAAGTAAATATTTGTTAACCATGTCTAGACATGGCCAACCAATAAAAATCTCCCACAATATATGAATTCAATAAATTCAACTATTTTCCAAACAACAATTAAATACTTACATAGAGTGCGACAAAGAAGATGACCAAAGCCAATACAATCGCTGCTGTATAGGCATTGTGCAGTTCAATGGGACTTTTCAGGACAACAGATGAACCGAAACTTTTGTCATTAAAATTTCGAGCACTCGTATCGTCGACCATAAATTCACTGGAACTAACCACCGTTTCCACAACAAATTCATCTGCAAGTGGATAATGTGATACCGTAACCATATCGAATGGAGGTCAGCAATAACAAAAATCGATGGCAGAACAACAGCAAAGAAGGCAGGGCGGTGGCGGGTGGTAGACATCAGACATGAAAATATAAATAAAATAAAAACAATGAATAGTTTTTCATTTGGAAAAAGTAGCAACACACACTAGAATAATAAAATTAATATTAGAACAGGGCAAGGCAGAGAGCCTCAAAAATATTTTGTGATTGTATGTGTTTTGAAATAACAAAATATTGCAAGTGTTTTTTTGCCCCTCTTTACAGAGTGAGAAATAATTGGTTTTCTTTAAATTTTAAATTTAAAATTTTCTGTTTTCAAAACAACTTCGTTGTTAAAAATTAATATTTTGATCAGACAATTCGGAGATATATTTGCACAGTTATTTCAATATGTTTCATTTTAAAATAAAAAAAATATATAAGTTGACATTTTCAAAAATGTTATATAATTTTTATTAAAAAAAATTTATTAAACACAAATAATAATTTCGGACTTAACATCCTAACCATCTAAGTTGATCCTTTAAAAATTAATACCGATTACCACAGGCTGACATACGCAAATAGTTGTAGAATTTTATGCTGATCAGAAACGCATATCCTGCGTTGGGTCCTAAAATATTATGTCTACGAATTACAAACAGAATGACAAACATCACATCCTGTTATTTTCCCTAATATTGACTAAGAACGTACATATAATTTCAGAGAAATCAAGGGATATGAAAATGTCCATTAATTTGGAAGGACAATAAATTTGTCCAACAACATGAAATAAATGCCTATTACTAACATGTGAATTCGTATGCAAATTTTGTCAAATAGAATTCAATCAAAAAAGATAAGTCTTAAAATTTATAATTTTTACAAATTCGGAAATATTTGTTCCGAATATGTAGTAAGATATATTTGTGCTCCAATATTTCTTACGGTGTATTCATAAAAATATCCGACAGCACCTTCCTCAACGACTGCTCGAACAAAACTAAATATTCTCCCAAAACCATTTTGACAGAAAATTCAAAACAATTTATTTTTTACAATTGTGTTGGTGAACACACAGATATCCCAAGGGATACTCTTTGCCTAGCCCTGTATTAGAACATGGGTATAACAACAACAATGACAACATTACCTATGGCTACAATATATAAATTTCATTTATATGCGTTCATATATCAAATATCGTGTGTGTGTGTGGAGTGTATGTAGGAATGAGGTTTTGCATTTCGGGGCTTGAGCGAAATTGTGTGGCATATCGTGATATGCGGTTTTGTTGAAATTTGCAATTTAATATGAAAACAATATCAACAATTTCGAGTTTGGTTTTGTTATTAGTTTCAAATACAAGTAAACCAAATATTATGTGCATTACATGTGTATATACCTATAGTGTTTTGGTTACTTGTATTTTTAAGGGTTGTTTACGTATAGATTGCATATTAGGCAACATAAGCTACAGAATTTGGAATTTATGAAATATTGAAAAATTTAAATACATGTTCTTGAAGAATTCAACAATTTATATGACACTGGTAAGAAGTGGCTTTACATACGGAATCTCCAACGGAGACTTGATGTTGTTAAAAATATTGTCAGGGAGGTAAAAAATACAGTGAATCTGTATTTTCCACGTTCGGTCCTGGCTTACGTCTATTGTAAATATTACCTCGTGCCTGATTTCTATACCCTACACCACAAGGTGGTCAGGGTATTATGTCTTTGTGCATTTGTTTGTAACAGGCAAAAGGAAACGAGATAGACCCATAGTTAATTTTGATGATCTGCATAGAATCACATTCTGAGTCGATTTATACATGTCCGTCCGTCCGTCCGTCAGTCCATGTATTTTTGTGAACAAAATGCAGGTCGCATTTATTACCCGATTGAGATGAAATTTTCCAAACAACATTTGTTTGGCTCAAGGACGAACCCTATTGATATTGTAGATAATCGGTAAAAATTTAGATGTAGCTCCCATATATATCTTCGTCCGATTTGATTTTTATTGTGCACCAAACGTGTAATATCAGTCCGAATAGTATGGAATTTTGCACATACAACCAAATGAGGCCTGAAAATAAGTATGCCAAATTTTATCGAAATCAGTTCAGATATAGCTATAGCTCCCATATATATTGTTCATCCGATTTGTTATTTTTGTCCTCGGCAGCCGTAATATGCACTCTGTAGCAACAATATTTGGGGAAATATAACAAATGCAGCTCAGATATACCTTTGCTAAATTTTATCGAGATCGAGATCGGTTCAGATTTGGATATAGCTCCCATATATAATTTCGTCCGATTTACTTTTGATTGTGCACCAAACGTCTAATATTTGGCCAAATGGGATGAAATTTGACACTTACGACCGAATTGAGTCCAGAAGCTAGTACGTCAAATTTGGTGGAGATCGGTTCAGATATAGCTATAGCTCCCATATATACTGCTCATCCGATTTTTTACCCACAGCCGTAATATGCACTCCGTAACAACGATATTCAGGGAAATATATCAAATACAGCTTAGAAATATCTTTGCCAAATTTTATCGAGATCGGTTCCGATTTGGATATAGCTCCCATATATATTTTTATCCGATTTCAAATTAATTGTGCACCAAATAGAAATGGAAATGAATTCTCCCATAAAAACTTTTAATTGTTATGCGGAGCTCTACTAAATTAGCAAAGTGGTGTAGGGTATCATAAAGTCGGCCCGCCCGACTTTAAGACTTTCTTTACTGGTTTATATTAGAAATGGGTAAAATTCTTTCACGCTTTATTTTGGCTCATTCATGGCGCAGCGCTTGCTTGAGGTGATTGACACTTTGGTATTTTTTAGTGCCAATATTGCTTACCAAAATACTCCAGACACAATAATCCAACGGATTAGTATCGGGAAAAAGACAGAAAATTGTCTGTGCAGGTCCATGTCTTCGTATAGCCCCCATATAACGGTACCTCCGGATATTCGGTTTTTTGTTGATTTTAGCGACATTATTCACCGGAATTGTTTCAAATTTGCTATTTGAAGTTCGCATTGGATACTACAGTCTATGATAGACAATTGTCTGTGCAGGTTCACGTCTTCGTATAGCCCCCATATAACTGTACCTCCCGATATTCGATACTTTCTTGATTTTAGCTGCATTATTGACCGGAATTCTTTCAAATTCGGTATTTGATGTTCGTAGCAGATACTATAGCCTCAGACAGAAAATTGTTTATGCAGGTCCAGGTCTTCGTATAGCCCCCATATAACGATACCTCCCGATATTGGGTATTTTGATGATTTTAGCGACATTATTCACCGGAATTGTGTCAAATGTGGTATTTGAAGTTCGTAATGGATACTACAGCCTATGCCAGAAAGTTGTCTATGCAGGTCCAGGACTTTGTATAGGTCCCACTTATAACTGCCTCCCTATATTCGGTATTTTGATGATTTAAGCGACATTATTCACCGGAATTGTTTCGAGTTTGGTATTTGAAGTTCGTAATGAATAGTACAGCCTATGACAGAAAATTGTCTGTGCAGGTCCACGTCTTCGTATAGCCCCCATATAACGGTACCTCCCTATGTACGGTATTTTGATGATTTAAACTACAGTATTCACCGTTTTTTTTTTAAGTTTCGAATTTGAATGTGGTAGTGGCTGATGACAACAATGTAGGTCCCCAATAACGGCTATATTCGGTATTTTTAAGATTTTAACAGAAATTTTAACCGGTTTTATTTTTTAAAAATTTCCAAATTCGTTCCAAATGGTGGAAGGGTATTCAAAGTTCGGCCCGGCCGAACTTACTACTTTTTAACTTGTTAATTTTTAGCTGAGCTTATTTTTGAGTTATACACCAATAGTTGAAGGGCAATAAAATAATCCAAAATGAAAATTTTGAAAAGGATTTTTTTTTTTGGTTTGGCTCCAATGCGGTTTTTTTTGACGTTTTGTTAGTTAATTTATTAAAATATTTAAATTCCATTTCCCGATTTTTGGGTCCTAAAAGATTAAGATAATCGAAGCAAAAACTCGGTTTGACGGAAGACATGTCGACGGATCCCAACATATCACAAATTATTTTGTATACGTTGTGTAAAGAGTTATGATAATTAAAAGCTTTGAACCTTCGCGGTAGCGATAGCAAAAGGAGTGGACCAACATGGAAAGTACCAGAAGGAGTCATCTTAGGAAATATTCTAAGGGAGGTAAAAAATTCAGTGAATCAATATTTTCCATGTCCGATCCTGACATATTGTTTGATGTAAATATTACCTACACATTTGTATACCCTCAGCCACATGGCCAGAGTCCATATATATCATTTGATACGGACAAAACGTCGCTCATCGACGGTTAAACCCTAGGTCTCCTTGAACCGAATCAGTTTCATGATCTTTGGAGTCGATCTAACGATATCTGTCTGTTTGGCTGGCTGGTGCGTACGATAACTCTCGAAAGGAGTATCCGAATTGGTCCAAACTTGGTACAACGTAATATTATTATCACACTTAGATCGAGTTCGGCGATGGGCAATATCAATCAACTTCTTCTGGTACCTCCACCACGAAAAATGTTTTACTGCACAGAAAGAGAAATCCTAAATTTTGGATCAATACTAGGTCAGGTGCGAAAATGGAGAATATCGGTCCACTCAATCAATCCAATCCTCCCCCCAGAAAGGATCAAACTTTTGATACTCGCATCAGTGCTAAATCAGGTGCGGAAATGGACAATAAAGGCCCTCTCCATTAATCCACTCCTCTCAAAGAAAGGGTTAACATCTTGAATAATCATCCATCCATCAAGTATCTCCCCCACAAATTGTCAATATTTTGAATAATTATAACCCTTATAAAATGCAATGTGAGAGTCCGCTTGTCTCCAACTTACACACGTCACAATATTTCTGGTCTGGTGTGAAGATGGAATATATCGGTCCACTTCTGCTGGTACATCCCCCACAAAGGGTCTAATTTTGGAATAAGCAAAACGATGATAAAACCCGAAGCAAGCCTCTGGTTCTCTTTATGTGAATCTTATTATATCTATGTGTGAATCTTATTATATCTACTAACATAAGATCTGCTGTGAAGATGGGTTATATAGATCCACTCATTCTGGTACCTCCCCCACAATGGGTCAAAATTTTGAATATGCCCAAAATTAATACCCGATTCCATTCAGACTTGGGATATCTCAATATTTCTATCAACGCAAGATTTGTTGTAAAAATGGTAGAGATCGGATTATTCCTTTTGGTACCTACCCCACAAAGGGTCAAAGTTTTGAATAACCAGAACGATTATAAAATCCGAAATAAGTATCCGGTTATCTGCATATTTCACACAACATTATTTCCACTAACACAAGATCTCCTGTCGACTCCTTCTGGTACCTTAATGAGTCAATTTTTTTAATATCCATCAATAACGCAAAACAAACATCCGATTCCATTCAGACTTGGTACATCTCAATATTTTTATTAACACACGATTTATAAAGATGGTAGAGATCGGACCATTTCTTCTGGTATCTCTTCTGCATGGGCCCCAAGGGAGCGATATAGGCATCCAACTCTCTTAAAATTTCCCACATAAAAAAAAAATTAGGTTCGATAAGAAATAGTCAATTTTGGATCATTCCTTTGGAACTATCTCCTTAGAGAGGATAGACATGTGTCGGCAAAACCGACTGATACTTTTTTTTCAAACTTTTATAGGAAGGAGAACCGATATTACATAGTGTCATGTTTTCTCCAAATTCTTAACACTTGCCTGTTTTCCAGGTACATTTTGGCAGTATCGCATGGTATCACCTGATATTAGGTTTATGATGATTTTAAATACGATTTTTCCATGAAATTGAAAAAATTGAAATTCACAAGAGTCTTCTGTACCAGAATAATTGCCTATTTAAGTTACCCTTTTCGAATAGGAATTTTGAAGTCTCTAACTGCTTTCCCCAATGTATTTCCCTGATATTTACAGCTTTAAGTGGAACTCGTTCGAATATTAAATTCAGACCCTTATATTTAATTTAATTTATTAAAAGTTAGACCCGACCGAACTTGATGTTGCTTTATTGTTATTGGTTTATTTGTATACACTCCACCATAGTATGGAGGGTATATTTAGTTTGTCTTTTCATTTGTAACACCTCGAAATATACATTTAAGACCCCACAAAGTATATATATTCTTGATCAGCATAAAATTCTATGTCGATTAAGCGATGTCCGTCCGTCTGCCCCTCTGTGGAAATCACTCTAGCTTCCGAACGAATTGAAGTAGATTGATAAAATATTGCTCAATTGTATGTTATGTCTGCAGGACTTTTGGTATTGAAAATGGGCTATTTAGGTCCACGTTTTGATATAGCCACCATATAACGGTACCTCCCGATATTCGGTATTTTGATGATTTTAGCGACATTATTCACCGGAATTGTTTCAAATTTTGTATTTAAAGTTCATAATGGATACTACAGCCTAAGACAGAAAATTGTCTGAGCAGGTCCGCGTCTTCGTATAACCCCCATATAACGGTACCTCCCGATGTTCGGTATTTTAATGATTTTAGGGACGTTTTTCACCAGAATTATTTTAAATTTGATATTTGAATTTCGTAATGGATAGTACAGCCTACTACAGAAAATTATTGTGCAGGTCCACGTCTTCGTATAGCCCCCATATAACGGTACCTCCCGGTATTCGGTATTTTGATTTTATTATTTAATTTATTATATCCGAATTTTTCTAAGTTTCGCATTTGAATATTGTAATGGCTTAATGACAAATGTTACATACGCAGGTTCATGTCGTCGTATAGACCCTAATATAATAGCTACATTCGGTATTTTTAAGATTTTAAGAGAATTTAATTTTTTAACGGATTTTATTGTTTTTGAGAAATGCCAAATTCGTTCCAAATGGTGGAGGGTATTCAAAGTTCGGCCCGGCCGAACTTACAGCTTTTTTTTCAAAATTCTTTCGTTTTATAGCTCACACCTAAAATGTCTGCGTGTGTTATAGGGTGATAAAGGAGAAGCAGGGTATTTTAAATTGGCTGTAATTCTTTAAATATTAACATTTCGGCGTTTTTAGCCTATTCATTTGTTTAGTTTCTAAATATAGAAATAAATAAATATTCTAAAAACTCCCAAGATGCTAAAAATTATGAGGTGTGGTTTTAAGTAGGCTATAACATATACTGGACCTATACAGTAACCTTCAAATTCGATAATCGCCATTCTTTTTTTAATTTTAATAACTTAAATACATTTTTGTTAAAAAATGTCGAGGTTCAGATTTCATATAGGTGGAAATTATAATTTTATATAGGTAGAGAATCAGAAGTCTCTCCTCCTGATTAGCTTATTTTACGAGATTAATCTTTTTCACCCTAAACTTTTTACTAATTACAAATTATTTTCAAACTCTAAATCTCATTTAACTTTAATCCACACTTTAATCCACACTTTAATGCATTTTAAATGAATAAATTTGCAACACTCTCCCCACAATGTGTGTTATAAAATAAAACCCAGAAAAAAAACTAATCGCACTTCATTAAAATTTTAACAAATAGTTTTATATAATTTCACAACAAATTTAGTAAGAATTTGCGGGTCATTTGTAAATAATGTCCAACCAAAACCTTGCAAACATTTACTGTTGTTGGGATATGTTGTTGTTGTCGTCATCATCGTCGCTTGACCCATATCCATGGTTATGCCCGCAGCAGAAACCGTTGCATGCATTCTAAATATAACTCACCTTCACACATTGTTCCCGTGTAACCAGGACGACAGGCACAATAGAAGGAATCACCACTGGACCAGCAGGTGCCACCGTGTGTGCATGGATTTACATTGCATTGCTGTGAAATAAAAGAAAAAGACAGAAGATAAAAAGAGACGATAAAAATAAATATGGGTAAAACATTCATTTATGGTGCGGGAGGATGTGGTGTATCCGGGTGTGTGTGTGAGGGAAATACCAATGAACAAAATAAATATTTATTTGAGGTGTGTTGTGGATAGTGGTAAATGTGGTTACCGCTACATACTTCTATAATAGAATGTTTGTTTTTTTTTTTCCGATGACAGGACAACAGAGGCCATTTAAGAGCAAAATGTCATTTGCGATGTAAAATTGGAAGTCTGGTTAGAGTAAAAATTTATAAAATTGAAGAGTTGCGAGTTCAAATCAAATTGATGATTTGCTTCTTCGTATGTGGTATAAAGAATTTCTATTAATTGAATTTAGGTAAAGAGAATTTTTACTCCAAACAGCATTTTTTGTAGTAAGAATTTTCAAAAACACCTCTCAACCCTAATGCCAAATTTCAGATTTTAAGCCCCATTTGACTTGTACCAAATTTAGTACCATTTCGTAGTTTCCGTATAAGTGTAACTAATTTCCAAAACCACCTCCTTATATTAACCAAATCCCTCAGACTTACATAAAATACCAAGAGGTCCGAAATTTAGTGTTGTCTAGTATTTTTGGTACACTTTTGGTCCGGATTTTCAAGAAACCAGTCCAAAACTCAAGCGCCGGCCATGGCGATGGTGTGGGCTGCTATAACAGCCGATGGTCGCTCTCCGCTCGTATTAATCGACCGTTGCATCAGAATAAATGCCGAATATTATCTCAAAAATATTTTGGATGGTGTATTAAAGCCTTGGGCATGCAAACATTTTGGCTGCAGACCTTGGACATTCCAACAGGACTGAGCATCATCGCACTAAGCACGCGCTACCCAAGAATAATTATAAAATGAGGTTCCTCGCTTCATTTCCAACGCACAATGGCCACCAAAATCTCCGGATACCAACCCGTTGAACTTTTGGGTCAGGAGTATTTGGAAAGCCAAGTTGGCACTTAAAAATACAAAAGTGTCGAACACCTCAAGCAAGTGCTTCGCCGGGAACGGGCCAAAATACCGCACAGCAACATTCGGGCAGCGTGTGACGGTTTTATTGGCCGTTTGAAGGCCATAATTCGCGTCAAAGGTGACCAATTCAAACAAATCTAAACTTATTCTAAAATTTGATGCTAATTTCCAACATTTTTTATTTTCATTAAAATTTAAAAAAATTTAAAAAATATGGTGTTTGACTTTGTCGCAGTTTTTTATCTCACCCTGTATAGGTTCACCAAAATCCAATTTCTATTAAATTTAGTACACATAAGTACAAATTTCCAAAAATGCCTCAATATCTCAATTCTACACTCTGAGTGTAATCATATTTTAAAATTTCAGAATACCAGCTCCATCCGTTCCTCCAAATCCAAATTGTACCAAATTTATTACCAATTAGTACGCAAAAGTACAAATTTCTAAAACTACGTCCATATATCAATCCTACACTCTGACAATAATCTTATATCCAATTTTCAGGATTTCAATTTTATTGGTTCTCCCAAATTGTGCCAAAATTAGTAGGTATTTAGTACATATAAGTACGATTTTGCAAAAGTACCGACAATAGTAATCTTATTTCCAATTTTCAGGATTCCAATTCTATTGGTTCTCCCAAATATAGTATCATTCAGTACTTTTCGTGCACATCAATGCACATTTGGAAAACTTCCTTCATATCTCAATCGTACACTCCACCAGTAATATGTGTTAAAATTTCAGGATTCCACCTCCAACCGTTCCTCCGAATCCAAATTGTAATAAATTTAGTACCGTTTAGCATTTTTCGTATACATAAGAATAGACTTCCAAAACTACCTCTTTACATCGACTCTACTTCTCAATCTTGATTCATATTCCAAATTTCAACATTTTAGCTCTAACCGTTCGCATGATACGAAATGGTACCAAATGTAGTACATTTTTGTACTTTTCGTAAACTGATAGTGCAATTTTCAAATTTAAGATTTCTAGCTCTATTGGTTCGTCAAATACAAATGGTACCATATATAATACATTTTAGTACTTTTCGTACCGTTCTAGCACCATCTTCCAAAAACCCAGCTTTATCTGACATCTTCGGACCAAGGTTGACCTCCACCCAAAAATTGCAAGATTATAGTTTCAGCCGTTTCATTTGCGCTTTGATGAATCTTTAAGTCAGTCACCCAGTCGTTCAATCAGTCTGTTTATACCGTCAACCATATGGCTAGAGAGGGTATAAATCATTTAATATGGCCAAAACGTGCCTCATCGAAATAACGGTTTTAGATCCTGAGTCTCTTTGGACTAAATCCGTTTCAGGATATTTGGAGTCGATTTAGTGATGATCGTCCGTCCATCTGTCCGGAAGTATCCGATTTGGTCCAAACTTGGTGCATTATTATTATCGAACTTATTTCGAGACCGGAGATAGCCAATATGGGTGTAAAATAACAATGTCGGTCCACTCCGTCAAGTAATGGAATATAACGGTCCACTTCTTATGGTACCTACCCCCCAAAAGGTTGAAATTTTTGGAAAAAAAATATTCTCCAAAGAAAGAGAAACGATAATCAGATTTTATTCCTACTTTGCAAATCGTAATATTTGCATCAGTGCTATCACACATCTCAATATTTTTATTAAGCCAAGGTCTGCTGTGAAGGTGGAATATATCAGTCTACTCCTTCTGGTACCTCCCTCCCCACAAAGGCTTAAACATTCGAAATACCATGAAGCTCGTAAAATGCGAAATTAACATCCAATTCTATTCAGACTTGGCACATCTCAATATTTCTGTCAACAGAAAATTAGTTTAAAGATGGAGAGAATCGGACTATATTTGTTGGTGTCTCCCCACATAGGGCTCAAGATTTTGAAAAACAAAACGCTCAAAGAAAGCGAAATAAGCATCTAACTCTCTTCAAATTTCACATATTCAAAAAATTTTGCTAACACAAGGTCTGTTGTGAAAATGATATATATCTGCGAACCTCTTCTGGTACCTCTCCCACAACGAGTCACAATTTTCAATATTTTTATCTATCATAGCATGCGAAACAAGTGAGCGATTCTTTACATCTTGCTATATCTAATTATTTCTCTCAACCAGAAACCTGAGATGAATATGGCATTTATGATAGCAATATTTGTTATCTGTAGTAGATGATGTAGGAAAATGGAACACTTCGGTCGAACATGTTTGGTACCTCACCTACATTTTAACATAATCTAAAAATTATCACATATCTCATATAAAGTGAAGGAAAAAGTCTATGTAGTCCAAACTTGGCACGTCGCAATATTTATGTCTTGTTTATTTAGGTCCGATACGAAATTGTCAATATTGGTCCATTCCTTTGGAATCTACTCCATAGAGGGTCAACAATTCGAATAATCATTTCATAAGTCAAAATATATTTAAATAATCGAACATTGACTGAGGGTATACATCTGCCGGCAAACCGACTTATACTTTTTAACTTCTTATTAATATAGATGACCTCATAAGTAATCCTAAATATAGGTAAATTTTGATGATCTTCCACCAATTGTAGAGCTTTGATTGTACTCTGTCAGAATGCCTTTTATAGACATGGATATGAAAACCTATATCTTTCTAGAGATACGTGACGAGATATTCTAGCGTCTTGAAGGACTTCTATAGATAGTACCACTTTAAAGGATTTCCCATTGATAGGATACCTTTGGAAGATCTTATCAGGATTTAATATACGCAGACGAATCTGTGAAGGTCATCTCTAAATGGAAAACTTTCGTAAGGTCTACCACAGAGATAAACTTTAAAAAGTCTTCTATGGACAGATAATTTTCAAAAGATTTCACATGAAGAGAAGACCTTTTGAGATTTCACAATGTAGAGAAGTCCTATAGAAGACCTCCCGTGCCAGAAGACCTTATGAAAGACTGTTGCCTCTAGCGGGAAATTTGTAAGGCCTTCAGTTACTTAGTCAAGCACTTCCCTTTTCTATTAAAATAGATTGTTACACAGCTATATTCAAATAGATCACACTTCACCAAGTGTATTAAAATATCAAGTACTCCATGGCGTATAATTACTACAACGTATTGAATTGTGATATAACTCATACGCCTTCCGTAATTGTAAGTTATCCACAGACACACACATAATTCCAATGCTTTATTATTATGAGATTGTATGCGGGAGAACACACGTTCACATGCGTTCAATATTTGATATGCATAAGTTTGCAATTACCATTATTTTTAATGTATCAATAATTATAGATAGTTTATGCCAAGCCAAGTGGAGGAACAGATGGCGTCGCATGGTTTATAATTATTATAAATTATTGATGCCATGGTTTTATCGGCATGACAGTGAACTGAATAAATTGTTGTATTTACTGCACAACATGTGTCAAAATTACAGGGTCGTTTGGGTATCACAAGATAGCATATAATTACGACGACGAGTAAGGATACATATGGAGCATTAAACATACTGATTTGTGCGTGTCTTCTTTTATTATGTAATTTGCCTGAAGGCAGTAATTTGTATTAAAATATGAATAAATATATGCAAATTGTACTTAATTAGTTTGCATATTAAAATATCAATTGAAGTGATATTGCTCTGGCAGTCCAGTATGCCTCCAAAAACTCGCGATTGTATTTAAATGATAAAAATAAGGTATTGAAGGAAAATTCCAATAATTATTAACAAAATTCTAAAATATTAGCTCAAATACGAGAATCCTTTTTTTGCAAATATTTGAAGGAAAATTCCAATACTTATTAACAAAATTCTAAAATATTAGCTCAAATACGAGAATCCTTTTTTGCAAATATTTGCGATGTTAGCGACAAAATCAAATAATTTTCAAAAATGCACAATAGTAGCTTTAATGGACGAAATTGGATAAAATTTTATATGGACCTTATGAAGTGAGTTTCTCTAAAATGTTTTAAAAAATATTTTACTGACA